CATAATCAATAAAATATTTTTTTAAAAAGGAAGAAAAAAGCTCATAGAAGGGTATTATATAAGTTACCTATTGTTGCATAACTTAGCAGCTCAAAACAACATACACTTATTATCTCACAGTTTCTATGGGTCAGGCATCCAGGCAGAGCTTCACCAGGTCCTGTGCTTTAGGTTCTTTCACAAGGCTGCAATCAAGATGCTGGCTAGGGCTGACATCTTATCTGAAGGCTCATATGAGGGAGGATCCATTTGCAAGTTCATGCAGTGGTAGTTAGAAGGCTTCATATCTTTGGGGCATTTTGGATTAAGGGCTTCATTTTTCTAGCTGACTGTCCCTTGCCTGGGCATCTCCAGCATGGCACTGGGCTTCAGCAAAGTCAACAAAGAAGAAAGTCTGCTATGAAGATGGAAGTCAGAATCTTCTGTAATTTAACTCAGAAATCACTTCTCCTCAACTTTGAAATATTCCATTGTTGAGAAACAAGTTACTGCCTATGAGGAGATTATATAAGGCTATTAATCTCAGAAAGCAAAGATCATTTGGGGTCATCTTAGAAGCTACCTACCACAGGGACCTGGCACAGAGTAAGTACCAATACATGGTAGCTTGTGTTATTTATGTCACTTATCGTCCAATGAGGAGTTGTTGAATGTACCATGGAAAGGGACACAGAAGGCACTCTGGAAGCACAGAACCTGGGATGAAAATTCAAGCAAGGACTTCTTGAGTAAGTGATATGTAACCTAAGATTCAAAAGATGAGTGAGGAATCGTTAAGCAAAATGAGGGAAAACACTACTCAGGTAAATGGAAGAGCAAGCATGAAGACCTTAAGGCAGAACAGTGAGGCCAGTATATTTGAAGCACTTGGAGAGAACTGGTTATGCTAGAACATGAAGAGATCATGCATAGACAAGGATAAGGTTGCTGAAAGTCACTGTAAGCCAGGCAAGGTTTGGGGATCTTATCCCAAGGAAATGGAAAGCTTTTGAATTTTCTGCAGGGGAGTTACATGATCCCATTTAAAAATATCAGTCTGGTTATACTGTGTGGAAAATGGATGGCAGACAGGTAAAAGTGGACACAGGAAGACCATTTAGGATGATTTCACACTGGTCCTGGTGAGAGACGGTGATGCCTGGGGCCAGAATGAGAGCAGTGGGACAGAAACCACAAATACATAATGACAGGATATGGTGATTAAGCAGATGTGGACACGGGAGTACAGGGTAGTGAGGAAGAGGTAAATGATGGCCCCAGACTTACCCTTTAAAAAACTGGGTAACTGATGGTTTATTTATTATCAAGGGATTGTTGTGGGAAGAACATGTTGTGAGGGAAAGGATGACTTTAATCTTGGAAATAATGAGTTTAAGGAGCCTGTGAGACATTTAAGAGTGTATGAGTTCATCTGCCAGATGCAGTGCTGAGGACAGAAGAGAGTTTAGGACAGCTCTGAAGCATTTACTATTCAAGAGTTGGCTAGAAGGCTTTCCTCTAGGAAAAGAGAATGAGAGGACACAACCAGGACATTTGGAGAAAAGTCAAAACCAATGGGAAAAGAGCATTTTTAGTAGGAGTGATTGGTCAGCTGTGTGGAACACTTCTGAAAGGTCAAGCACTGGCACATGTTCAGAAAAAAAAAAAACCTAGTGACTCTAGGTTATTTATGACTTTGGTCAACCCACTTTGCTAAAAGGGCAAAAAGGGAAGCCTGGTTGGGTTAAGCTGAAGGGGAAATGGGAAGCAACAGGACAGAGGCAGCAAGAGTAGATACATATAACCCATCTGAGAAGTTTGGCTACGAAGAAGTGGCAAGAATATGACATGCACTAAATCAAAACTTTTGTTTGTTGTATTTGTAGAGATTTTGAGTACCATCAGTGGTGGAATTTGACTGGCAGATATGGAGGGGTAGACACAGGCGAGTGGGGAGAACTGATAAAGAAAGGTTGTTTCTGTAATTAAAAGCACCGGTAGAAGGGCTGGGTTTAGAAGGAGGGCTGTTCCATTTTAACAGCTCAAAGAAGAAAGGTTGAAGGCTTCTTCCAGGTAAATTTGAAGATTCATTGTTGGAATATTGAGTACATTCTGATAGAATGGCTCCTAATGCCTTTTTAACAAACCAATTTCCTTCAAATGTTTAGTAGCCAAGCACTCTAAATTCAAGCACTCTAAGTGTGGATTTTAGACCAGCAATGCCAACATTACCTGCAAGTTTAGAAAATCAGATCTTAGACCCCCTCCAGACATACCTCATCGGAATCAATTTTAAACAAGATCCAGAGGTAATTCCTGTGTACACCGAAGTTTGAGAAGCAGTATTCTAATTGACTTCCTCCTCATGGTTGTATAAACTGAGAAACTGCTAGGTTATCAGAGCTATCATCTATAGCAGATGGGTGTACTTTGAGGACCATGGGTTATTGTCCAACTGTTCTTTCAGCTATAGAAATTTTTGGAAAAGACACTTGTTTTTGCTAGAGAATCCAGGTGAATTCCTATAAGAAACAACTAGAATAAGCAAAAAGCAAAATATCACAATATTTTCCATCTTCGTATTTTACAGTGTTGTCAGTATTATTTTTTATTCAACAAATATTTATTGAGTACCTACTATATGCTAGGCATTCTCCTGGTTCTGGGGTTTCAGTCATTAACAAGAAGTTCCTGCCCTCAGGACCTCATTTCTCTTATTTAGCTCACTTTTCTGTCTTCCGCATAATACTTCTTGGTATAATCCTCAACTCTCTTGTTCTCTAACTTTATGTTATTCAGTAGTCATCATTTATTCATTCATTTACTTGTCCAGTTAATAAACAATTATTTACCATCTACTATGTGCCAGGCAGTATTTTAGGCATTTGGGATTCATCGGTGATCAAAATAGATAAAGATCCCTGTCCTCATGGAGCTGATATTTGAGCTGATCTGTGGCAGAGGGTAGGAGGATGTTGCTGAAGGAGAGATGGGCACTAACAATAAAAACAAATAAATTGACCACCTTGCAAACCCCTTCTCCAGTTAAATCCCGCTCTCTGGTTTCTCTGCAGCTGAGTTTGGCTTAAGAGAAACATACAAGCATGCTGACAGCTCTCAGATCAGCAGTCACGGCCGTTATCCTCAAGTGGACCTCCTATCCTGCCTGGTAATTCAGGCCATGTTCTCCCTCATTCTTACAGCCAATTTGATACTTTCTCCTCCTCAAACCATTGATAGTGCCTACTGGACCCTAGATTTTTCTAATAACTCATCTAATATTTTACATCTTTTTATGAAACTTTAAATTTTGCTGAGGTTATACTCCCCGAATTCCAGAACATGCTTTCTAAAATGTCAGTCTCATGGAACACTTTTAAAAACATAAACTTTAACGAGTAGGCCCCCATTGCTTTAAGGATAAGAATCAAATTTCTTACTATACATCGCAGCCTATTGTCCAGGCTCCTTTTCCACCCATGTTTCATGCCCCCTGTATTTCCAGCATATCGACTAGAGCAGTAGTTGAATGCTTCCATAGGGGAGCTACTCTGTTACTGTGTTTTTGATTGAAGTATTTCTTAGATTTCCCATTTTGCCATTTATTCTTCCAATTGTGTTCATAACATTGCCTCAAATAATATTTTATTGAAAGGAGTTCTCAGTGTTGTTCCAGTAAAACTGAAATTAATAATCTTGAACCCTTGAAGGCATTAGCTTTATATAAATCATGTCATTAAAAACTCCTGATTTACTTCTGACACATTCTGGGTTGGAGATCTATGGGTAGAAGCAAAGAATTAAAAAAATTTTTTCCCTTCTAAAAAGCTGGTTGTAATTCAAATAGAAGTGGTAACTAAGATGCTAGCTGATGAATTGAGAGGTATCAGGAGAACTAGAAGCCAATACATAGATTCTTAGAGTTGGAGAAATATCAGAGATGATCCAGTGTAACTGTCCAGGCCAGAGCGAAAGTCCCTTTTATGTCACCTGAGCCCCATAGCTTCTTTTACTTCCATCACTGGCTCCTTTTCATCATTAGAACCCACTTGTCATCAGGGTTTTCCTTCCTTATTTTTAAATTAGTTCCCTGGAATTTCTACCCATTGGGCTAAATTTTTGACACGTTAAGATACAAAAATGTAAAATGAATCACCTTGCTGCACTATAGCTTCCAAAATACTAGAACCCAGGAGTCCCATGTGCCCTAATTCCTCTCTTAGTCCTGCCTTTCTGCAGGCGGTCCCAATACGTACGGCTCCGAAGTTCTCTTCATTCCAGCCACCCCCTTCAGGGTGCAGGGTAAGTTCTCAGTGCGCCAAGCCATCAAAGCAATGCTTAGCATGTGATCTGGCTAATGAAGAATAACCAGAACATTTATTTTCCATGATCTATGTTTCTATTATTGCAGCCTAATATCAGGTTGACTTGTTTAGCAGCCATTTTGCACTCTTGGTGCCTATCAAAAGCTTGTGGTAAATTATAATCCTCTGAATTTTTTTTCACATGAGTGTTGCCGAAATAGGTAGTATCCCAGCCTGCGTGTGTACTAGAGTATGTATTAATCCTAGACCTCCCTATGAATCACTGGATAATCAAGGACTGGTCGTGAACTTCACTCTGCTGAACTAGACGTTGACTCTAATAATGCTAGTGTCATATGTGAGGTTCCATAGAAAGCACCTTGTCCTCCTAAACATGTGCTCTTCTATTTATAAACTCAGCCTCCCCAAAGGGCCTGGGGACCAGGCTCTTTACCTTTCTAGAGGCTAATTTTTAGCCACAACCTTTCCTTCCCCTTACCAAGTACGTACACTCTAATCCCCACTCCCAACAAACACCTACCTATTCATTTTATTTCCTCACACCCAGGTTGATTGAGCTCTTGATGAAATAACCACCACAACAACAAAAAACAAGGCAGGTCAAGAAACCCAACCCCTCTTCTCCAACCAGAGCTCCTCCTTCTGCCCTGGGGTGTCCTGGAATTGAAGGCCAAAGAGGGAGAGGAGGGCTCACACTGCTGCTGGGCGACAGCGCAGGCTCAGCTGCTCTAGCCAGTGGGACCGCAAAGGGTCACTCTAAAAATTGCTGCTGGGACTTGTCAGGTGGCTGCTGGTGGCTCCCCACCGGATTTTCCTTCTCCCTCTCCTTTCCACAGATTGCTTCCCCAGAGGAGTCTGCTGCTGACACTTCGTCATCACAAGTCGGGGACACCGCTCAACACAGGAGGGTAAGGAGCTGGGGCCACACTCTCCAATTCGTCTTCCAGATCCTGGGGTGTGTATGGCTCTGTGGGTGGGAGAGGGCGGCGAGTCTGAGTGTTTGCAGAGCCATTTCACTGAAGGCATGTGCAGCTGGGTCAGATTGCTCCTGTCCCTGATCTCAGTTTGGGAGCCAGAAACCATCTTCTTGAAATCCAAGGAAGGTGATATGCTTAGGCAAATATTATACATAGTCAGAAATTCATGAGTGGATGCTTTAAAAAAAGTAAAATTACTTGTAATTGCTAAGAGTAATTTTTAGTCTCCAAAGTGTAACATATATTTTTCTCCCTCTATTTTGTAGCAAAGAAAGGGGAATTTCTTCTCTATTGTGATCAGGAACCATATAAACATTTGATACCCAATAACTTTGGATAAGATGTAATTAATTTTAATGAAATTGGCAGCAAAAAAAAATCAGAGAACTCTTTAAATTCCCAGAAATACAACCTATTGACAAAACAGAAAAGTCCCCTTTCTAAATTACAAACTATAAAACAGGTTTTTATTCTAAATGTGCACATACATTTATAGGGACATCATGTTTTATATTAGAAATCATGTTGAAAAAGAAACAGTAAAGTGGACCCCCCTTACACTGGACTTAACTTAAAATGGCAAGCTGCAGAGCGGAGCGTTTCTATTCTGGGAGTCAGAGCTGATGTGCCCTGACAGATGCAGTGCTTGGAATGTGGTTGGGACAGGGAGCGCGCACAGCTGATTTGCCCCTTTGGCAGAAAGACATTCTGGGATCCCAGCTCATCCTGGTTGAGTGACAGTGACACTTTAGCACACATGGCTTTTCAGCTTGCCCTGTGTAGTCTCTCCCAGGAGGCAAGGGTGGACAGCAGCAGGAGAAAGAATGTTCTTAAATATAAAGTGACAATTCTTTTCTATAATCAGTCCTAGGAGCTCTTCACCACACCTGCTTCAGGCCCGGAGGAACTTGATTTAAGGGTGATGCTTTCGCACAGACTTGCCCACTCATAGAAGAGGGTAGAATTATGTTACCATTGCAGTCCAATGCTTCTGGATCTGTTTAGGGTTATGGACCTTTGAGAACCTCATGAAAGCACAAAAATGCACATAAACACACATGCACAACATGCTTCATAGTATTCATGAAAATATCATGGAATTCATGGACTTTCCAACCCAGAAGAAGTTTGCTAGATTAAATACAGGACACCCAGCTGCGTTTGAATTTCAGATGACTCACAAACCAGTGTTTAGTATAAGTATATCCCAAATATTGCATGGGATATACTATACTAAAATATGATTTATGGTTTATCTGACATTCAAATTTAATGGACATCTTGTACTTTTATTTGCTAAATCTGGCAACCTGGACCCAGGAGCATGACTTTCTTCTCAGCTGGATTATGCATAGCTGGTCATGAGTTGATTCCTGGATCCTAAAAGGCCCCATTGTGGGGGAAAGTGATACAGGACCAGACTTTGACAATTCTGACAGGAAAAGCCAGCTGTTTGTTCTGAACTCTCTATAAAATTTTAGTACTGAAAGGTATACATCTCCTCATTTGACAGGTGATAATCCTAAACAATTGGGTATTTTGCCACAGGTCCATCAGCTGGCTAGAGTGAAAGGAAAACTAAAGCCCAATCGTCAGTTCTGTGACAACCAAAGAGACAGTCGTCTTCAAATCTAGGTTTCTAACATCTCCTTCCCACCCACCCCTAACCCAGTAACCCTGCCCACTAACCTTAACACACACAGCAGACTACAAAAGTGAGCTATTTTAGTAAAATTTTCAACTAAACAAAACCAAAAATTTTTAGCAGTGGATCCTTGCCGCCTGTATCCAGGGTTGGAAAATAGACATTAACTCGATGTATAGTCTATATACTTTATTGATAAAAGTCAGGCACGGGCTTCTAGCTGAGCTGAATCATAAGAAACTGGTAATATTTGTCTTTAAACAAAAATTGATAATTACATACCCAGCCTAGCACTTACAAGGAAGTATTTGATTCTTTGATCAACAAACTCATGCGAGAGCTCCTTGAACATGTTTCTAGTTTTGGCTTACCAACCTATTAGAGTTTCATATCTTTACTACCCTAATTGGATTGAGAAATCCATGGACTCTGTTTACCCCCAAATAAATTATCTTACATTTAAAAGATCAACTCTTTCCTCTCAAATTTTATAAATTTTTAAACTGATACAAATTTTAACCTACCCTGGATTTAAAGGAGGCTATACAGGAGGTTGGGATTCCACCTGGGTTTGATTATGACCTTGTATGACCTTGGTTAAGTTTTTAAAACTCCCTCTGAATTTTAATTTCTTCAATTGCAAAATGAACTTAATATAACTTGCATTTTAGGATTTCAGTGATGCTTAATTTTTTTAACAAATCATGTAAAATACCCAGGGCTCAGCACACAGTAAGACCCCAATTAATAAATGCTAGTTATATAATTATTATTTTAGATAGAAATTTATATTTGATGCATAATATAGATGCATGCTTCATGGATTACATTTAAGAATTATTTATTAAATTTATTATATGCTTAAATTTGGAAAATACAAAACATGATGAAAAATGTGATGGATCACATAACTGCTCAGCTGTTTATTAGATGTTGAATACATGACACTGTTGCCATAGAAACAACACAAAAGCCAAGCTCTGCAGTGGGCAATGGGAGGAGAGAATGAAATTGCATCTCTGTAACTTTCTGCCCGGTTTCTAATGGAGGAGACCCAAGAAACTGCTTTGGGTGGTAGTGGATGGAGCAGTGACGGGAGGAGGCTGTGGTGTCCATGACCAGAGAAGGAGAATTCTCTGGGTGACCTCCACAGAATAGAGGAATAGCTCTCATAGCATAGGGAGCCTTCTACCACCCACTGCACCCTGTGTAAAGTCTCTGCTTTCACCCAAAAAAGGGAAGGGACAGGAAGGGACTGGAAATGTCTCCAAATGGCTGCTTATCCCATTACACAACCTCAGCGGCTATGGCTAGACCTGCTCTTTCCACTGTGCCCTACTATGGTAGGGTCCGTGGGAAAAGTGCAAGCTGCTAATAGTCTGGGGTGGGGCAGAGGGAGAGGGGGGCTCTGCACAGATCTTCTCTTTGACCCCAAGGGACAACTCATTAAAGCCCCCATGGGTTAGGAAGGAAAATTAAGCCCTTTGTGCTTTAGAAAAAAACAGAGAAACAATCTTAAAACTCTCCCAGTCACGCCCTGGCTGGTGTAGCTCAGCCGATTGAGAAGGAGCCTGTGAAGCAAAGAGTCGTCGACGGTTCAATTCCCAGTCAGGGCACACACCCAGATTGCAGGCCAGGTCCCTAGTAGGGGACACATGAGAGGCAACCACACATTGATGTTTCTCTCCCACTCTTTCTCCTTCCCTTCCCTTCTTTCTAAAAATAAATAAATAAAATATTTCAAAAAAACCCTTGCAACTTAGCAAGCCTGTAAGGCTGTGCTCCACATTATCTGGACCAACTCCAGTCACAGCCAGTCCTTGCTGTATGGTAACCATGGTGATCCCCCCCCCAGCCTGGTCATGAGTCCCTCACTTGTAAATAAATAAATAAATAAATAAATAAATAAATAAGCAAGCAAGCTTTAAAAAAACAACAGTGTTAATTAAACCTTCCAACATCGTTGAATCAATAAGAATGGAATGCTTTCAATATTTAGTACTCAAGGTCTAAGCTATACTCTAGATTATATATAAACATATATATGCAGCTCATTTTTGTAACCTTTTTCTTGCAGCCACATTTTGACTGTCATTGTGGCCACATCATTAGTGATCACTAATAATATGACCCACGGGTACATAGAGAGCATTAGTATAATTGTAGGAAAAACAGCGAGAGTTCCTATACAAATTGCTTTTGACTACATGCTCACATATAACCTAATGACTAATACATTTTTGTGAATACTCAGTTTTTTTCTAATTGCCCTCTATTAGCCCATACAATCAGCCTCAAAGCGCATTACAGTTACCAGATGAGTAAATGAAAGTTAATTAAATTGTTCTCCTTAACTTTTACACATCTACTCCTAAGCTGTCCTTTTCCAAGTTCTTCCTTTTAAAGTTACCCTTGTTCTGCATTTAAATGCGATTGTGGGAAAATGCTGGTTGATCAAGTGACATGGTGAATGTAAGTATTCGTGCATGCATGCATGTGTGTGTGTGTGCGTACTGAGTGTGACATGCCTGTGTCTGTACTCTCTGGAAAGATCCCAGTGTGAGAGGTCTGGAGAACTGTCGAAGGCTTCCCTGTGTGCTAGTAAAAACAGAGCCTTGGGTTTATGATCCCACATAATAAAGATGCTAGTCTTCTCTGTAATAGGGCCCAGAGCACACAAAGTAGCTGCCCTTATTATTCTTACTGGCTGGTTTGCAGTCCTCCTTCAACTGAGAAAAGCAGTGGCTGAGTCGCCAAGCAGGGCCTGTGGCAATGAAGAGCGGGGCCAGTGGTAGAGCACTGATCGGGCTATCAGAGCCAGTGAACGTCTCTGCAGCCTAGAGGACATCAGAGCTTTGTGTGGCTTTGAAGAAGGGGCCCAGATCCTCAGACTCCTCTGAGGGGGCTGCAGTGACCTTTTTGGAGAAACACGGCACAGACTGAGAACACCTGCGCAGGTGGATGAACAAACAGCCTCACCTTCAAGGTGCAAGCCTAGGACTGGAATATCATGGCAACTCTAACAAAGAAAGACAGTTTCTGAGCCTATCTGGGAATATAGCCACTGGGAAAGGAAGTTGTCCACAGGCTGTGATTTCAATAGTCTCTCTCTTTTTTATTTTTGTACTTCAAATAAATTTATTTTACAAAATGTTTGAGATTATACCTCACATTCTACTTACGGTGATTAATTTAAAATTTAGCTAGAATCTCAAGATAGTTAGATTAGAATCTCATATCCTACTTACTCCTTTTATGTTTCATTTTTGTAATGATAGAGTAAGGT